CCCACTGACATGGGTCACTCTCTCACCCACCACAATGTCAGCCCTGGAGGGCAAGATTTCTACCTGCCGTCTGTTCACACCTAAGTCACTACGCCTAGAACACCGTCCTGCACAGAAGAGGTCAACACACATTAGTTGAATATTGAATATCTGAATGAAGGCAGCAAAATTCTGAGACATGCCACGCAGGCAGACACTTCCATCCTAGGTTTCCAAGCTCAAGGAGGCTAAAGGGACATTCCAACGTCACGGTTGACCTATCATGCACTGGCCACAGCCAGGCCCTGGACAGAGTGAGGCAGAACCTCGGAACAGCCCCAGGGGCCCTGTTAACAGTCAAGACTTGGAAGCCTGGGGAGGCTCCGCCATATGCCCGCCATCCCCAGGCAGGGAAGAGTGGAGGTTAGATTCGAACCTGATAAGTCCGGCCCAAAAATTTATGTCTTACCCTCTTGCTCTTGGTGGTTCTGGAGAGAATCTCATGATAGACAGGGTTGTAATCATCGAAAATCACCCTTCCAGGCCCAGCCTTCCTGGATAGACTCATTGCCTTTCTCGCCTGCTCCCCATCGAGGCCCCGTTCATGCCACCATTCAACCTTGGTGGCTCAGTGGCATGAGAGATGGTGAACAGCCAGTGAGCAGGGCTGAGGGCTTGCACCCTGCCTGCCAGTCTAGCCTGACATGGGCGGGGGGTAGTCTGAAAAAAAATTTCGGATAGAAAGCCACTGGTTTTGAAATGAAACTCACCAAGTCAGGCTAGCCTGGGGCATCCTCCGGACCACCACTTTGTCACTCCCAGAAGGAGATAGACACTGATGTCTGAGGGACACCATGCAGTTATTAACAAGGGCATTCGGGTCTGAGCAGAGGGTGGCCTGGTAATGTTCAGTGAAGCCAGCATGACCACCAGGACACCAATTAAGAGGAAATAACCCTCCCCAGGCCTTGGCTTTCTGCTGCGAGATGCCCCAAGGAAGGCAGGGGAAGGTCATTTGGGTCCTCCCAAACTATCAAGTCAGACGGGTCACCTCTTCAGGCCACAAACATAATTCCAATTAAGGAAATGGTTTCCTTTACCAGGTCCGGGCAGAGGGGAACTAGCGTATCATGAACTCTCTACCACATGCCTGCTTATAATTATTTTCCTGCTCCACTTACGATGTTGGCAAGGGTTCCGTGTGATTCAATCAAACTTTGTATTACATGTTTGCCATGTGCCAGGCAAAGTCTACCTCCCATACTGTGCTAAGTATGGGAGGTAGACGCAAGATGAAATCTTTTCCTTTTTTTAAGAATTATTTCTTTACTTAATTCCATTTGTTATTATTATTTTTTACTTTGACCAGACAGAGGCAGAAAGAGAGAGATAAAGGAAAAATGAGAAAGCCAGCCACCAGGTCCAGGACTCGAACCACAGTTGGCCATATGGGAATCCAGCGCCTTTAACCATCACACCACCTACCAGCCCCAGATGAAGTCATTCTATAGGAGGACAGCCAGAGACCTGGTGGTTAAGGCGGCTGGCTCTCTCACACGGCTGACTCTGCAGTTTAAGTCCTGGACCTGGTGGCTTGAAAAACATGCCAGCCACACAGGTGTACATGCCCAAAATCCCAAGGGAAGAATGGAGGAGAAGGGACTGCGATGTGGTCATCCTCCCAGGAGGTGATTTCTCACTTTCCCTCTATCTCTTTCTTTCTGCCTCTGTCCCTCTCTGGTGAGCACACACACCCTATAGCAAGCTTTTAAAAAGAAAAAGAAAAAAGAAGGCAGTTCAGGCTTGGTACTAAAAGCTGGCTCACCAGGACTCTTCTGGACACACAGCCAGCACTGAACAATGTTGGCTGGGTGAATAAATGTGAAGGGTACATAGAGCCTCAAAAACAATCTTTATTTAGAGGTTTTGCCACAGGGCGTGTGTGCTTGCCAGACAGACAGAGACAGAGAGACAGAAAGCGAGAAATCACCCCCCAGGGGGGATGGTCACACCGCAATCCCTTCTCCTCCATTCTCCTCTGGGGATCTTGGGCACGCACACACATGCGCCCGGTGTGAGTTTTAAGCCACCGGGTCCGGGACGCGAACTGCGGTCGACTACATGGGAGTCCAACAACATAGCCATTACGCTAACTGCTGGTCCCAAGAGTCTCAAATTTTGAGCTGTAAACAGAGGTAGAGTGAAACAGCCTGGCACAGGGCGTGGTATCTCCCTGCTCTAATAGGGAGTGTGGAGGGGGGACAAAGCCCTAGGCACCAAGAGCCTGGGTCCTTCTGGAAAGGAGGGACCTTGGCCCCATACCAGAGTAAGCATATCAGAATTTCTGCAGGTGAGCCCTGAACACTAACATTTATTTAAGAGTGATTTTTTGCTATAGGGTATGTGCGCTTGCCAGAGAGAGAGACAGAAAGCGAGAAATCACCCTCCAGAGGGCATGGCCATGCCACAATCCCTTCTCCTCCATTCTCCTCTCAGGATTTTGGGCACGCACGCACACACGCTTAGCGTGCATTTTAAGCCGTCAGTTCCAGGACTCAAACCACAGTCGACTACATGAGAGTCCAGCGACATAGCCATTATGCCAACTGCTGGTCCCTGAACACTAACTTTTTAAAAAATATCTCAGTGATTCTAATATGCAAGCCCAAATGAGAATTGCTGCTCTAGGGCACAAGAAAAAGTTCCAGAAGGCTGGGGTTGCCACGCAGCTTTGAGACATTGTCAAACAGATGGTCACACACAGGAGGAGTGGAGTGTCAGAATCCTGGAGCTGGAACGAAACTTAAAAGCCATCCGCTGGTGGCAGATGGTGGTGCAGCGATAAAACACAATATCTGCGATGCTGGCCAGTGGGAAGGTTCTGGGTTCGCGTCTGGAGACCTCCCTGAGAACACCGGGCGTTTGTGTGCCTGTGATCCAGGACTAGCTAAAGCTGGAGATGGACTGAGGCAGCTGTCGGGGTGCTATCTCTCGCTTTTCCTCTATCTCTCATGCACAAAAATAATAATAATAATAATAATAAGCTTAAAAAAAAAGTCTTCTAGTTCAGCAGCCTGTGACTCTCCATCCAGTCTCTGCTTGAGCACCTCCAGAGGCAGGGAATTGACTTCCTCTCAAGGCAGCCCTTAGGTGCTGCCCACTATGTGGGTGACTCCACTATGTGGGATGGCTCTGACTCTTCAAAGATCTGCCTTCCATTTGCTCAGGCCCTCGGGCCCCAGTAGAGCTAAGCAAACCCAGTGCCTCATGGTTTCCTATGCTAACGCTCCGGCCAAGCAAGGCCCTCCCTGGGACACACCCACCTAGGAGTGCAAAACCGCAGGCCTGCAGGTGCCCTTGGAGACCGCCCGCCCTCCTCTCCTCATTCTGCGTGAGGATGCCGAGGCCCAGGGAGGCTGGCTACCCATCACACAGTGGTCTGCGATGGAGCAAACTTTAGGCCCTGGGGTGGGAGCTCCCAGGTTTGTGCTCACAGGGGCTGGGATTTTTTCCTATTTATGAAAACATAGGGGGCCAGACAGTAGCACAGTGGTAAAATGTGATGCGTTTTGCGGGGACCCACATGGGAAGGTTCCACAGACCTCCCTGAACACACCAGGCACATGTGTGTGTGTCCATAATCTATTTGGGGCTGGCTAAAGCAGGGGTGGGGTGCAGCATCATGACCTTGTTAGGAGTTTTCTCTCTATCTATCAATTGCTCATGGACAAAAGGAAGAAACTTAAAATAAGAAGGAAAGAAAATATAACAACCAGTCCCTAAACCCGTCTGTTCTCTGCAAGCCTGGGCCCCTCCCCTGGCAGTCACTGCCACTCTGTCAGGTAGTTGCTGTTTCCTTCCCCAGTCAACAGCAGGCTCTCGGCCTCTCGGCCTCTCGGCCTCTCGGCCTCTTGCCCTCCTGCCATGGAGCCGCAGCCCAGGCCGGCCAGCGGTTGCGTTACTCACCGAGCCGGAGAGCCCGGCAGCCCTCTCTGGCTTTGACGAATGCCTGCCCACCTGTCACTGTGCTTGGGCTTCTGCAGGTTCTGACTCCACCCCTTAGTCCCGGGCAGTGGGAGGCGCACGTGGACGGTCTCTCGACCCATCCTAGGACCCATCCTAGCAGCGGGGTTGAGAGTTCCAGTGAACGGCTGCACCTCCATTTGCCGCCCAGGTGAGGTCACTGTCCAAAGGCTACCCAGTTTGCTATCACCCAGAGGGGTTCTCCTTGCAAATTCTGCACCCCTCACCAAGGCCGTGGTCTCCCTATTTCACCCAGATTGCAGAGCCCTCATTTTCTTGAATGTTCTAGAATACTTGACTCAAATGAATGAGCTTTCTGGATGGCTTGCTTTGAAGTAGTTTTATTTTCTCTTATTAAAACCTGACTAGGGGGGCCACCCCCATGGCTGAGTGGCTAAAGGACCCGGATTCCACATGGCTGTCTGTGCTTTGAGTCCTGGCCCTGGTGGCTTGAAAAACATGCCAAGCACATGTATGTGCATGCCCCAAATCCCAACAGGATAGAGAAATGGAGGAGATGGGATCGTGGTGTAACCACACCCTACTGGGAGGTGCTTTCTCCCTCTCTGCCTGTCTCTCTGTCTCTCTCTGTTAAGCACATGCTCCTTCTGGAAATTTAAAAAAAAAAAGATCTAATTGGGGTTGGGGAGCCGACTCCATACCACAGTGATGATGTACTGACAGGCTAGAGGACTGAGGAAGGGGATTGTGGTGGGACGGGCTTCGTGAAGGTGTCCCTCTCTTCCTCTCCCCAACTTCACATGTGCACATATCATGAACTGGGACGCCCAGCTGGGGCCCATCTGTGGTGGCACAGGCAGCGGGGCACCGCTTCATGGTACTAGAAATACCTGAGCCACACGGGGGCCCAGGGACGGATCCTGCATGGACCCAGACGTGCCAGGTGTGCCCATGCGTGCCATGATGCTGGCTGGCTGGGAGGCTAGGGGAGCATTGTGGTGTCATAGGTCTCTGCCATGACAGAGGTGACCCCTCTCATGAAAGAAAGAAATAAACTCTAAGAAGTATATTTGGCCCTCAAACCAGTAAAACAGCAGGAAACCACTTGGCTCTACAGAAGCTGCTCCCAGCTAGACCAGTCTCCAGGCTAGACCCGAACCAGCCTAGCCAGGCTTGTTCTAGGCCTGGGCTACGTCCCCCTATCCTGCCCGGGCCACGTATCCACAAGACACACACCGACTCCCAGAGAGCCTGCAGGAGCTATGGTCGGCCCATTACAGGGAACAGCTGAATTCACCCTCAGACGCTACAACTGCAGTGTGAGTGTTGGTTCACGCCCCCTGATAGCCAGAGAGGGCCTGTGTTGGTTTCAGGGACATGACGCATGGCCTCAGACAGCTCCCCACCCTTCCTCTCTCCCCTCATGACCCCTCCAAGCCACCGTTCCTCTTTTCTCCCGCCAAGCCCTGCCTCTGTGACCTCCGGAGGCTGCTGCGGTGGCAGAAGCAACACCCCATCCTCACTTTCCAAGCTCATCAGAGAATCCCAGGGTGGGCAAAGGCTGTCAGTCCCAGTGGACGCTTGGAGGCAAAGTCCGCTTCCATCCCCACGCTAGGCAAAAATCACCCTCGAGCCTGGCAATGTTTGGGCTAAATGACAATTTTCAAGACACCCAGAAATCACATATGGTGAGAAAAACAACCACCTGGTAGGCCCCACAGACATCTCTGAAGGCTGTTCTGGAGTTTCCCAGATAAAGAACAGCCGCCTCCATGTTTCCCAGCCATGTTTTCATGCTTTCTGGAGGGCCCAAAGTTTGGGGGCAGCATTGCCTCCTGCCCACCCCCATGCACACATCACGGCCTGGCCAAAGTCCTCCACCTTGACACTCAGACTTAACTGCAAGGGGACTTCTAGGTCATCTAGCCCAGCTCCCCCATTTCCAGGCAAGGAAATCGAGGCCCTGAGAGGGGCCAAAGCTACACAGCAGTAACAGAAAGGGCTTTGAGTGCCTTCAGTCTTGCAAGAGTGGAGCTGGTGTTCTTCCCATGTCCCCATTCTGCTTGTCTATCAGCCTGGAGGCTCCCGAAAGACGCAGGGCCCTGTCTTTGTCCTCTCAGGCCTTTGCAGGTCCTGGAGTCAGGCTGGGGGAGTAAGCACTTCTGTTATGGCTCATTCAAGGACAAGCCGGGAGAAATAATAATTACCTACTCCAGGTTTTCCATCTCCTTTTTGCTTAAAAATACAAAAGCTTAAACATAAATAAAGGGAAATGGTCTGGAAAAATAACCAGTTGGCATGGAGCTATTGGCACTTCAGCGCTGCATAAGAAGTAGAAATACTGTTTTTCAGAAACTCAGCACGGCCGGAGTTGTTAACTCCTAACCATTTGGCACAAACGTTCCCAATTGTTTGGATGTGATGGACGATGTTGACAGAAGTGGCGGAGACCAACACGGGCTATTAATAGGCCGAGCGTGGTACTCATAACTCTCCTCTCTCTCTCTCTCTCACTAGCTCTCTGGCACCAAACTGTTGCCAACCTGCCTACCTTTTGCTTTGAGGTGCCATCAATTCCAGTAACGGGACACCAGGCAAGCCATGTCGCCTGCCCACGTCTGAGCCAGATCGTCTGAGAACTCCAAAGAAAGCTGGGGGCGCAGGCCACGTGGGCTGCTGGACTGTGCAGAGCTTCAAGGAGGTTGAGAGGCGAGGAGGTCCCTTGGCTACTGCTTTCATCCCGCGCAATGCATAAAGTAGGGTATCCGTGGCCTGCGGGTGGGGGATCATGCAATTCCTCCATCTATATTTTAATTCGTTGTTTTTTTTAAGTTTGCTATCGGGAACCTGTGCTTACCAGAGACAGTGAAAGAGAGAGGGAAAGTGAGAAAACAAGCCACGAGGTCTGAGACTGCAGTCAGCCATGTGGAAGTCCAGGGCCTTGACCACCGCGCCACCTACTGGTCCGGTCCACGTATGTATTTTATCCACTCCTCTAAGAACTTGCGGCAGCCTCTTCTCAAGGCAGGAGCTCATCCCACCTTCATTAGTTCAAGGTAGAGTTATTTCAAGGCAGAAGGATCCCCTGGTTCCTGAAGGGTGCTGCTTCCAGGAACTGTCTCCAAATTCAAACTCTACGAGGATTCACCAAATCCCTACGACTTGACAGGCCCTTCCCATCCATTCTCGTATCAAATCTTGCTCAACCCTCACAAAAATAAATTGCTATCTCCACAGACAAGTGAGGAGATCGAGGCACAGAGTGGTCACACAACTCGCCAAAGTCACGCGGCGAGTAAGTGCAGGAGCTGGACCTGACATGCAGATCTTCCAAGCCCAAGCCCAGGACTGGAGAAGGCTAGAGCCAAGCCGCTGCTGACACCAGGGCCCTGTGCTCTCCGTGGATCTGGTCACCGGCTCCCACCCACTGAAACCAGAGTGGCTGGTCCTCTCCCTCGGGGCGCCCCTGGCTTCCACAGCCACAGAGCTCCCTGGTCCCAGCCGACCGTCTACCTGCACGGGGTCAGCCGCCGAGGAAGCCAGGCCAGAGACTACAGCTGGACCGCTTGGCTCCATCCCCTTCTTTGACATCTATTAAATGAGAGCACAAATCCTTCCTTCCTTCCAGAGTGGTTGTGAGGAAGACCAGATAATGACTGTGAAAATGTGCTACCAGCCAAGGGTTCCCGTGAGCTAAAAACGGCCTGTGCCTAGGGTGACAATCCACCCGTTTGCCCAGAAAAGTTCAGAGTACGCCTGTGGTCTGGCATAATTATGAATATGGCTAGAAACTAATAAAACACTCAAAATCGCCCCCGTTTAGACAACGAATCATGATCATCCTATAAACATAGCATTTGCTGGCATGGGGTCTGAGAGAACTAGGGCCCTCTGTCCCATGTCCACTGGCTTCTACACCCACCTTGTGTTGCAGACGGGTGGGCTGCAGTGAGCTCTTAGCAGACCCTTGGCCAGGCTCAGGCCCGGCATCATTTTGCTAGATCAAAGCAGTTATTAGTAGCCACTATTTTTAGCAAGACAAAGCCACAGTGCCTGGCTTCATTGCAATTGTATGTCACTCCTTTAAAGTTGATTCCATCAATTACAGACAATCACGGTCACGTGCCAGGCCTGCTTTAACCCTTGGCAGCTCGAATTTCTCAGCGCACAGGAGGCTGTAACCATGGCGAGGGCCCACTGTCAGAATATACTTGCTACTGAATCATTGTGTCTGGGACGTCAGCCTGGGCTTTCCGTTTACGTAACTTGTTCTTCCTCGGTTTCCTATGTGATCCCTGAGAGATAAGACGAGCCACTCCCATCTCACAGAGAAACTGAGGCTCGGAGTACTTAAGCAATGACTTAGGGTCACATAGCTAGGAACCCCAATTCGGCTCACGTCATGTTGCCAGAACATCGCCAGGTCTTTCTCACAGGTCAGCGAGTGTGACCTGCGTGGGACGTGTCCCTCAGGCTTCAGTGGGCTGACACGAACCCATAGTCAAGACAGGACAGCCCCTGAGGGCATCTGGAGGCAGGCTGCCAAATGTACCAGATGACACACGTCTGCCGGCGGAGCAGTCCTTCACCTTGAGAGCTGGCAGTGGCCTTACGACAGAAACAAAAGCAACCCGAAAACAACAAAGCTAAGAAGCTCCACAAGAAGTATGTCCACACCAGGGCAGGGGGTTGGAGGGATGCACACAAAGCAGAGGGCGGCCTCCAAGCCTTGGTGGTTAAAGGCAGTGCATAGGGAACCAGATCCCACATGGCTGACCAGGGTTCGAATCCCAGCCCCAGTGACTTGAAAAGCACATCGGCACCTGTATATGTGAGCCCAAAATCCAGATAGGAGGGATGGAGAAAAAAGGATTATGGCATGACCACGCTCCATGGAGGGGTCCTCTCTCTCTCTCTCTCTCTCTCTCTCTCTCTCTCTGGTGAGCACACATGCCCTCTGGCAATTAAAAGAAAAGTAATACAAAATAAAATAGTGCTAGAGACCCAGGACCTTCTTTCTTCCAGTGTCCAGTGGGAAGAGCAACCAGAAGGCAGCTCTCCCGAGCCAGGAGAGGATGGGACTCCCTCAGGCCCCGTCAGGGTGTCTCAGTAGAGACGGGAGAAGCCGCCAGAATGCTGCACTTTATACTCCAGTGCTGTTTATTGGGCTCCTACCCCATCTACCAGGTCCTGCACCAGCAACACAGTTCACCTAGCCCGAAGCCTCACTTTACAGATGAGGAAACTGAGGCACCAAGCAGAGGCAGTGAGCAGTCTACAACCCAGCACGCCAGGGCAGAGCGCAGAGGGAACTGGGCCCTTCTCCTGGGGGCCCCTGCTGCCTGCAGCCCGAGTCCCACCTGGGAGCCAGGAGGGGCTGCTCTTCCACCTCTCTTTCCTTCCTCCAGCCTCGTCTCGCTCCCCTCACCCACATTCCCTCCCTCTCGCACTGTTTCTGTTTCCCGGAACCGGGTCTGAGATTGCCGGCCTGGCCGGTCTGAATGAAGCCAGGCTGAGCCCTGGGACCCCACAGCCCTAGAGCCCCTGCTGGGAGGCCTCCCCAGACTGGGCTGCCCTGGGGCGGGTCTCGGTCTGTTTGTCTCTCTGCCCCCATCACTGCACACAGTAGGTATGCGATAAGTACTTGATGAATGAGTGAATGCAATACCATGGCGGCCTCTCAAGGAGAGGAGACTGGAGCAGAACCACTCCACTACCGCTCTGATGGTTCAGGTGGCAAATAGCACTTGGAATTGGGGGGTAAAATCTGAGTCACCTTTAATTTCCTCATCCCACTGACTAAACAGATACTTATTTGTTTAGAACCCATTGTCTAAGCCTTTAAATCTAACAGCTGTGTTCAGAGACCGAGGAAAACAGAGGTCCCAGCCAAGCCGAGCTGCCATTCCTCACCCGAGCAGCTCCGGCTTGGAGCCTGGGAGAGGGACGGCAGCGGGACAGAGAGCTCGGGGGAGGCCTGGCAGTCCAGTCAGACGTGCTGTGGCCTCCAGCACCCACTGTTGGCGACAACTGGCGAAGCTTGAACCCTGGAGCAGAGCACAAGAAGAGGCCGCCCCAGCAAATCCGCCAACACCCCTCCACAACGATGTTGCTGGCTACTGGGCGGCAATCCTGCGTCAGCTGCCCCTTGTCACCTGGGGGTAAGGTGGAAGGAGGGCTAGGCCCAGGGAGTGAATTGTCTTATTGAAGAAATGAAGAAGAGACCCAGGGCTGAGCGCTGTGGAGTCATGGCTGGGGTCACAGGAAGGAAGGTGTCCGCTGGGTGGAGCACCAGCCAGCTGCCAGGGTCAGAGGGCACGTTCCTCCCGGAGAACTCACCTCTCTCCCTCCAGCTGCCACCAGCTACTGCTTGTGGTGGGATAGCCACCTAGGGGACAGCAGCCAGAAGGGCCAGAAGCAGATGGACAAGTACCGATGAAGAGTGTGGGATCGTGGGGGGGTGCTCATGGCATAGAGAATGTCGGGCTGGGTCAGATCTTAGAGGCCCCCCATTTTACAGGCCAGGACACTGAGGCCTAGCCTCGGCCAAGGTCACCTCGCTAGGAGACACAGATCTGGAATCTAGAGCTAGAACCTAGCCTCCTAAACCCCCAACTGCAATGCCCCCTGCTGAGCCATCTTAGATCCCACAGCGAGTAAGTTACAACTCAGACTGCGATGTTCTACTCTGTGGAGCCCTTTGGCAGCGACCCCCAGCCTCTGGGATACAGGCAGACCCCCGCAGGGAGGCTGGCCCACCTCCCCACCCTGTAACTCACACTGAGGAGCATTCGCTCCTCTGAAATGCTCCACCCTTGTGCTTGCAGGGCCAGGACGACCTCCCCTCTTGGCCTGTCACTTTCCCAGTCCCCTCTCAGAGCTGCCACGTGCCCACCACTCTGCCCCATCCTGCAGAACCTCCCCCAGGCTGCCCCCTCCCTGCACAGGGGCGTCTCTGGGAGACGCATGAAGTGTCTATTTACCAGGCTGCCAGCTCTTCGAGTGTGGGAACCAGGTCTTCGTCATCTTGCTGTTTCTCCCCCACCCCCAGCTCTGAGCAGCTATGTGAGAAAAACTCCATTAATGTTTGTGGAATTAATTATCAAATTAAGGAGTGAATGAACCCTGGGCAGCTTTGATAGCGGCTTATTCCGCGTGAGCTACTGAACCCGCAGAAGGGCCAGCGCCGCTCTGGACAATCTTTGACCTCCGGTTTTCTTTTGGCTCTCCCTCCCTCTCCAGGTTGGAGGTAGTAGGGTCTCTGGCCACAACCAAGTCATGTGAGGTGTGACTCCACCGTGCAAACAGCCACCGTGATCCAGGGCACCCAAGTAACAGTCCCTGGTGACGCTGATGCGCTGACGGGGATGGCAGAGCAGCCAGGCTGGTTACAGAGGTCGCTTATCCATGAAATGAGCCCCTCACCGCGACAAGTACGCGGCAATTAGCAGCCCTCGGGGAGCAGAGTGCCCCTCCACCCTGTGGCTGCTCCAAGGCTCTGGATCCCCAGCACTGAGGGCTCTAAGTGATGTGATTTTATAGACCATTTACCTTCCAATCTCTGTTTTCCCTA